CTGCACATACCACATGGACATGGGCATGGAATATACATATATATTTGTCAGTCGTATTATTCACAATATTAGCAGTCTATTCACTTTACAAACTTGTCACTTATAACAAATTGACACATCTATTCGCTCAGTCATATTTTGTTTACATACAACTTATACTAATTACAATTTGCATATTGCGCATAATTTACTTGTGCGTTGACGCATACAATATTCATGGAACATTTCCCATATTTGCAGCAGAGCTTCTTTTGAATTTGCCATCAACATTCCTGACAGTTGCATTTGCAGTGCTAATACTTTTTCTATTTCTCAAGTCCCTAAATCACAAAAATAATCGATATTCTGCGCTAGTTAGGCCACTAACTGTCGTTGTCGGATGTGGTGTGCATGTTGGACTGTGCATTACACTGCATTATGTCGAATCGTATACACTGCAAAATCACCATTTGTACTATCAGCAACAGCAACAGCATCAATATTTTCGTCGCCAACAACAGCAGCAACAGCATCAGCAGCAGCACCAACAATTGCTTCAACATTCGCAATCACCATTTTCTGGTAGCCCATCGACCAGTTTGGCTAATTCGCCTCCTCATCGGGTTCTTTCACTAATATGTCAAATAATATATATTTTTATTTGCTTTACTTTGGGTCTCCTATATTTATACTTATATCGTATTCTAAAGCGCATATTAAGAAGCAAATCACAAAACTATATACATGGTTATCAAAATTTGTCCTATGCGATTCATATAACAATCGCAACGGCCTTGCTGTTTGTCTTATTGGCTGCTCTACAAATCTTTGGCGCTATTTGCATCTCAGCGGCACGCCCTCTGTTGAGTCAGGCAAATATTGTTGAAATTGACTGGATGCAGTGGGGTTATCAGTTTTCATTGCGTCTAATCGAGATTGCAATCATAACATTAATATCCTGGGTGACTGGCTTAAAGACCAGTGTTGGCAGCAATGTCAACGCTACCATATCCCTGAATAGTGATGTACGTATGGCTGGACAAGCTAGTGGTGGCTTTGGTACCAATGCCACTGGCAGTGTAATCAGAGAAAAACATGCTGTTGCCGCTCCTTCCCATAACACACATTCAAATGTAGCGAACTTCTTCTTGCCTTGCACGTCGAGCTCCAGTCAGGAACAGTTTGAAACAGATTATCCAGCTATTTGCAATGCAAATACTAATTTACATACGTACACAATGCGTACGGGTAAACTTATCTATGATGATAGCTATGCGTTAAACTCATTGGCTGGACCATCGGTAGCGTCTCCAAGTGGTGGTGGCACCGAGTATCAGCTGCAAGAACCTATGTATCAGAGACCTTACGATACCGGCTCAATAAGGAGTGCCATCAATCATAATATTACAACCGAATATGGTCCGCAATCATCAAGATACCATCATATTCATCATAATATGCGTGCGCATGAACCGGCGTCATATATGAGTGCGGATTATATGACCGATGCCACAACAGATCATTACGAGAATCCAAATTTTGATTTACGCACAAATTCTACGGGTGCTGTCGGTGTGGTGGGAGTTGCAGTCATGCAAAACCAGGCGAAGAATACTGTGAGCTCGGGATCAGCATCTGGTTCGGGTTCTGGGTCCGGTTCGTCCGGTACATCCGGTACATCGCAACAGCAAATGCTGCTACTGCAGAGTGATAGTTGCTATTCTGAGCCATTACAAGAGAACTCCAGCTATGAGTTTAATAATTTTGAGCGGCCTGTTTTCCAAGAGAAATCTATTGACAGTATCCCACATTCGACCGATGAATGCTGGCCAGAGAGGGAGAAAGAGGGCCGCAAGATCACAAAGAATCGTGATAAAAAACATAACAGTAAGCTCGAGGCGACAACTGAAAATCCAGAACGACGTAGCTCCAATTCAACAAATTCATGTTCCTCGTCAAATGGTATACGTTATACCAGTTATAATTCATATGAGAGTGGTGGCCATTACAACGGCGTGCGTAAAAGTGGTACATTAAACAGCATTGATAATTGTTCAGCAATGCTTGCTTGTCAAAACGGAGGTATCAGTATAGCAAGTGGTCCTGGTCCTGGCCCAGGCCCTGGTCGTGCAATCGCTGTTAAGCCAAGCATTAAACGTCTGAATGGCGCTCAGACCTTAACACATAGCGAGCGCTCGCACTATTTTCAAAGGAATGGGCGCAATATAAGCACCATTAATAATAGAACATTGCCATTAAATGAATTTGAGTTAGCCCCGAGCGTTTGCAATGAATTTCCGCTAAAGCAACATCAAATGAAACAACAGCAGAAACCATACCACCATTCGCAGCAGCATTACAATTCTGAAGAAGATGAGGACGATGAGGATATAATATCTGGCAGTAATGTTGAGTGCACTAACTTGATAAGTAATAGTGAGCTTGGCTATTGTATAGCAAGCGATAACAGCATAACAAGCAAAACTCCTCACCTGCATGTACAAAATAATACAAAAATATCATCCATTCATCAGCGTATAGCACACAAAAGTCTGCAGGAGCACAGTGTGACATGTAGCCCTGAGCTAAAGTCAAATACTTTAACAGCATCAGGAGATATGGAATCACAATCATGCATTTCGGATAGCGTGATTGTTGCTGATCAGGGCTTCCTGCATTTTCGGGGAAGCAATGAAGAGCAAGTGGAGCTCGGTCATGGTAAGGCAATGAATGAAGTTCCAAGTCGAAGTGTGTCTCTTATCTGCACTAGTGTTAATGGCATCAACTGCTAAGCTATTGCGCTTATTATATATAAATTGACCACTATCGTCGCCGCCGCCGTCACCGTCACCACTTACTGCCAATTGTAGTTGATTCGTCACTTTCTTTTCTTTTCAAACTTGTGATATACATATTAATACATATATTGCGTAACATATATAAATTCATACATAATACTATATTCATATTACCACAAATTAGGTAAAGCTCGAATACAATTATGAGTAATCAATATTTATTATTATTTCTTGTGTATATATGTAATATATTTTTTTGCAGCATATAAAAAAATCAGATACATACATAGATTATAAATTTAAGAATGACTTTTTACCAATCGACAGTTTCAAAACGCAGGATAAATCATTTTATGGCAAAACATTTATTTTACGTTATCAAGTAAGAAAATTGCAGATTTAATATCGTCGAAAAATCCAATATACAAATCCAATATAATAATTGATCGTATTTGTATGTGTATGTAAAATTAATGATCTTTTATTAATTGATAGTATTTAATAAATTAAGCTAAAAATACAAATAGCAATTAAACTTATTTTGTCAATGAATGTTTATATTTACTTTCAAAATGTATATTTAAAATAGGTATGAATGCTGCGGTCTGATGCTACCGACTATTTCTACTTTTAAGAATTTATAATGGGTTGGCTTTTTTTTTTTTGGTTTGTCATATTATTTACTTTATGCATGAATATTGAAAAATGTTGAAAGAATACGACTCTAGTGTATTCATTTTTGGCCAATCTATATGTTAAATTTTTTCAAGCAATTGCCATGTTTCTCCAATAAATATCTCAAGCATTATTTTAACATATTGAAGAAAATATATAATTGTCGGTCAATGTTGATTGCAAATGTAGTGTATTATTAAACTAATATTCTCAATCGCAAGCTTTGAAGGCTGGCTTTAACATGTAAAGAGGTGCTCTAATATATAAATATTTTAATATAAGTGAAAGATCAAGAATGCGAAAAATTGGTCCTTTACAAAGTACATACAGTATACATTCAAACACACGAAATAGCGCTTTAGTAGTAAATATTTTTTAAAACTAATAAATTTAAGATCTTAAAATTGTTAATTGCAATACGATTTCCGGTCAACTAATCTATGCTTACAGCGTAACTATTTATGATGTACACAAATAAAAATTTCGAAAAAAAAAGATATAAATCACACATAAGGTTAATTCTGAACGCAAATAGTACTGATTAGATAAGGCTTAAGCATTTTTAATGTAAAATTCCATCAGCATAAAATAAATACAAAGAAAAAATAAAAAATGTATCCATTTTTCTGCTATAAAGGATCATCGCCATTACAATGTATGCTAAGCAGAAAGCAAAATGATAAATTTATCAGATATATCCTATAAATCAATACATTTTTACAATATGCTAATAATAATTAAAACAAGTACTCCCATTATTATTATACTAAATCATAATAGGGAAATATGTATACATATAAATACTTGCATGTACATGAAAAAATTAATCTTATAATAAAATAACTACATTTATTATGCACCATTTGTATTTAATTATGTAAGACAATACGAATAGAATATTTAATTCTTACACTAAAAGATTAGATAAAACATGGACAGCAAACTCCTCTACCAATGACCCAAAAATAATTTTTTTGGTCCTCTTTAGGAGCGTGGCATATCAAAAAATACTTTGTAATTTTCATATGAACCCATTGAAAATGGAAAATAAGGGTATAATGGTTTTGTGAAAAGTATGTAACAGGCAGAAGGAGGCTTGGCAGACCCCATAAAGTATATATATTCTTGATCAGCACGACTAGCTGAGTCGATATAGCACTGAACGCCGAGATCTTAGAAGATATAAGAGCTAGAGAGCTGAAATTTGGTATGCATACTTGTGTATACCAGTTCGAGTTTGCTTTATTTTTTCCGATAACTTTTTATCAAGAATAATCTAAATATTTTTGTTTTTTGAGCCTCATTGGAATAGTATTAGACGTGGAGACCAGACTTTCTGTGTATATCCATATGTATGATGAATACAAACATTGTAACATGTAATCATTGAAAGGCTCAGAGTATCTACTAGTCGAGCAGTCTCGACTATGCCTTGTATTTTGTGATATTCAAAACCGTGTAATCGTATTTGATATATCAGGGCTTATAGCTTGACGAATATACACATATGAATGTCATTATCACATTAAAAGTGAGTTTCTTTCCAAGGGCCATGACACTATCATATCATTTATATATATGTCACTATTTCTGACTATTTCCATTTAATTCAATGAGAGCCATATGAATCCTGAAATGCAGCCTCGATTCCAATGCATACTTCGAGAACTTCCGTCTTAAATAAAAATATATTAAATAAGTAATTATAGTAATTTAATGATAATTTATATATTCGTACTTAGCGTCCTGCAACATGGATATTGCTAGAGCTGGATCATTAGGTGCGTGACAAAGAGCAGATTCAACGTAGGCATACGGGATTATAAAGTGATCTTCGACAATTCCATTTTGATGAATGCATTCAGTAAAATCCCTGGATGCCGGGTTGCAGGATTGTTATATATGTAATTTATATATTCGGGATTAAAGATACTTACTGTAAAGCTAATACTGATTTACCCATTTGGACATAGCACGATCCACGTAGCAAAAGGCAGAGTGCACGATTATCAGCGTAATATAAATCATTAGATGATTTTCCACACATGGCGAGCTCACCATCTATAATTTGTAGAATGCTATCAGCCATTTGGTAATTTTTGCCAATAAATTTAAACATATTCCATAGGTACATCAACTCAATCAGAGGCAAGACGAGTCTATTATTCTGGCTCTTATATCGAATAGACCGGCCAGCCATAAATTTCTCCATTGGTAAAGATTTGCCAGCGATTTTTTGCCTGTACACTGGAACCTCCAACATTAATTTTTCAATTTGCCTTTGTTCTTCGTCCGATTTAGGGTTTAACATTAATTTGATGACAGCTAATTGATAGGTATATATAGATCGTGACCACTTACTTTTCGCGAGTAATTGGCTAGCATAAAATTGAGCATCATACCACTTCTGCTGAATGCAATTAATCCATAACAGTTCCCAAAAGCTCAAATAGTGGAATTGTGGCCAAGCATTCTGAGATTTCCAGGAACGCACATACCACGACTCAGCAGCATCTAAATGGCCTTGGATTAATTCAAATCTCCCCTTCAAGAATAACATCCAAACACCATTCGGATATATGGCCAATTGGCTAGTCAGTATCTCATCACATAGTTTGAGATCATTCGTGGAAAGTTTAGCGCTGACCATGGGTATAACCATTAGATGATAACCCAACAATGATAGTGCACATAATATTTGCCGTAATCCGTTTTCTTCATATCCTATGCGTAGATCATTTAAGCCATCCTTCTAAATAGGGTCACTTAAAATAAGGGCTGCTAAGGAGTCTGTCGCTATGCGTTACTTACCCTATTAGTAGAGAGTCCAATAAATTGCAGTACCTTAATAACGCGAACGGGCAGCATAGATATCATTAGGTTAAAAGTACCGATTCCCAGATGTACTCCGCTTCGAAAATGCATTTTTACGCTCGTTGGACTCGATTCCCATGTGCGGTGTTTCATTATTTGTCCACAGAATCTGAAAACAGTGTTTTTCTTCATATTCTCTGAAGCTCTTTCTATTTATACCCTGAACCCATTGAAAATGGGAGGCGTGGCAGACCCCACAAAGTATATACATTATTGATCAGGGCGACGAGCTGAGTCGATTTAGGCCTGTCCGTCTGTCTCTCCGTCCGTCCGTATGAGTGCGTCAATCTCATAATATACAAAAGGTAGAGAGCTGAAATTTATTTATGCATACTCGTGTATACCATACGCAGTACGAGTTCGATTTATTTTTTCGATAAATCATCCGATAACTTATCGATAATAATCAAAAATTTATTTTGTTTTTTTCAGAATCATTGGAACACTTTAAGACCTAGAGACTTCAGATTTACCATGTATATACATATGATGAATACAAACATTTTATAATTTACAGATTTTGGATACCACGCCCCCTTCGCAACCAATTTGTAAAAATTTCACATTTCAAATACTTGTGCTTTGGAATGTACATATACCTGAACATTATAATTACGTTCTGAAAGTTTCATTAGGATTGTTCGTCTACAAATTAAATTATTCAACATATAAATTCTCATAATATTGCCCACACTGCAACGCAGGCCAAGCGCAGTCGCTGCTTACTGCGCAATTAGCAGAGCGCGGACTTATGCGTGCAACTGGATGCATGTGTATAAATGCATACGTGCATAAAAGAAATATAGAATGACTAAAATATCAGATTGGAGGGCTCAGGGTATCTCCTAGTCGAGAAGTCTCGACTAGAGCCTTCTTAATTATTTTTTTTTAATGTCCGTATATATAGCGCGCATATCGCATTTCAAAAGCGCAGTCGCCTGTGTATGTGCGTGTGTGTGTGTGTAAGAATTATTATTGAAATATCATTTGCTCGAAGGGTTCAGGGGATCTCGTAGTCGAGCAGACTCGACTAAAGCTTTCTTACTTATTCATAGTCATTTTTAATAATACCTAAAACAATTATAGCATTGACGGACTTGTAAACTGCCTCGTATGAGTCCACTAAGATTTTCGTCTTCGATAAACGTGAGCAAAGCGCTCATCAGCAAAACTTCGGCCATACAGAGCTCTGCGTGACATTCCAAGTCTGTGAGGCTGTTGTAATTTTCCTACAATTTTCCAAATTTTTTAAAAATATATTTGTAAGATATTCAATTGGATTATACTTTTTTGAAAGTATTGCTGATTGCTTCCATTAACGTGTTTTTTTTTCGAAAACCTTGGCAGAGTTCTATACACTTTTTAAGTTCGGCGGATGCTTCGTCAACGTTCTCAAAAGTAAGCATTGCCTCAAGAAATGCAAACACTGCAGTGCCCATTGAATGATATAGACTCGTTCCAGTAAAAGGTTTTAACAGTGTCCGAGCCTCTTCAAATCTGTTATCAAAGAAATAGTTAATCGCCAGTTTTCCCTCCTTTAGAGATGTTGTGAGGTCCATTTCTAATGGTGTTGTGTCAAATTGCTCCGATCTTGCATCAAAAAATTCCTGATATCAATTGCATTAAAATAGTATTATCTATTTATTGCACATATACATACATAACTAATATTGTTAGATCTACTTGGGATGGTGGATGAACACCCAATTCAATTTTCTACACAATAAGTTTTGTAGATTAATTTTGTGTTATACTTGAATATGTTCATATATTGCAATAATTATCATGACTCCCATGCACAGAGCTCAGAATTTTTGTTTGGATGGATACTCCCGAGTAGACCACTCATATTTGTCATACAAACTGTTTTTCTTACCTCGGATAAATCGGAGTTATTAACATCAAAATCCATGTCTTTGAATTTGCAACAATTTTGATTTTCGCAAAAAAAACACGTAAGAAACGCGTAATACACCTGCAAAAATGAAAATTAGTCACTTACATTATTGTTCCTCGTTTAATTATCAAATTAAAAAAGTCAATAGACGTTTCTTGAGTATTGACCTTTATGCAGTATTAAAACACAAAAATAAAGTCTATTGCCAATATTTTTCAGTTTCATAAATATTTTTCATTTAACATTTATGCTTATGTTAATGATAAGACATATTTATGTATGTATAAACATACATATGTATGTTTATACATTTTGGTTTTAACTTTGGACTTTGATATACATATGTGTGTACCTTTTGACTGCCAGTGAAGTAAATGTAAACTAACCTTTTCAACTGTATCTTTTTATTGCATTGAAGTCTGATCCCTTACATATGTACATATATATATATATATATATATATATATATATATATATATATATATATATATTTATATATATATATATATATATATATATATATATATATATATATATATATATATATGTATGTATACATAT